ATATATGTAAGTATTATTTTCATTATAGGTTATTACAAGATGTTGATTGTGGTTTCCTGTGCTGTACATTAGAACCTTACTGTTTATGTATTTTGTATATAGTAGTTAGTATCTGCTAATCCCCAAATCCTAATTTTTACCCTCTGCCAACACCTTCCCCTTTGGTAACCAGCTTGTTTTCTGTCTGTGAGTCTCTTTCTGTTTAGTAAATAAGTTCATTTGTATCATTTTTTTAGATTCCACATATAAATGGTATCATATGATATCTGTCTTTCTCTGCCTGACTCACTCCGGTTAGTTTGATAATCTCTAGGTCCATCCATGTTGCTGCAAATGACATTTCATTCTTTTTTATGGCTGAATAGTATTCCATTGGCTATATATACCATATCTGCTCTATCTAATTATCTGTCGATGGACATTTAGTTTGCATCCATGTCTTGACTATCGTGAATTGGCACTATTGACTTTTTGGGCTGGTTAGCTTTGTTGTGGGGATGCGGGGCTGTCCTGTGCATTATAGGATCTTTGACAGCATTTTTGGGCTCTACCCATTGGATCCCAGGGACTGTCAAAAATGTCTCCAGACATTGCCCAAGATCCCCTGTGGGGCAATTCTCCCTCAGTTGAAAATCACCAGCTAAACATAATAGAAATTTCTTACTCTCATAACAATTCAATATGGATGTACTTGGCCAAAGGGCAGCTTTCCTCCACAAGGTATGTAGAGATCCAATCTCCTTATATCTCTTGGTTCTTCTGACCCTTAGGACATTGGAATTCCTGGTTCCAGCCAGCAGTGGGGAAAGAGGGAGAAGGCACACCCACTTCTTAGCCACCTTGGCTCAGAAGTGACATATGTCATACTCCCTCACATCCCATAAGTGAAAGCTGGTCACATGGTCCCACCTGGATGCAGAGGATTCTGGGAAATGTAGTCCCTGGTTGGGTTGCCATGTTTTAGTGACAACTCTCTGCTTTGGAAGGGGAAGCATGACTTTTGTTGGACTGGTGGCCCACCCTGCCCCGTGCCTAATTCTACTCCGCAGATATTGATGAGTGCCGTGATAGATGCCTTTTCAATGCAATGTGCACCAATACCCCAGGGAGCTACTACTGTACCTGCAACCCTGGCTTTGCAGCAAACAATGGAAAGCTCAATTTCACAGGCCAAGAAGCAGACTGTACAGGTGAGCAGAGGATTTTCTGGACATCCCTGGGAAGAAGGGTCTCCATGTTCCTCTGGATTGTTTGATATTCCTGAGTTCTTTGCAGGTATTGATAAGTGCTTCCAGGATCCATCACCATGTGGCTCAAATTCTGTCTGCACCAATGCCCTGGGCTCCTACTTGTTTGATATTCTTGAGTTCTTTTCAGATATTGATGAGTGCCTCCAGGATCCATCGCCATGTGGCCCAAATGCTGCCTGCACCAATACCCTGGGCTCCTACAGCTGTAGCTGTGCTGCGGGCTTTCATCCCAATCCACAGGGCTCCTGGAAACACGGCAACTTCAGCTGCAAAAGTAATAATCTCCTTGCATGTCTTGGCAATGGAATCTGGGTCTTGCTGTGGGTGTAGAATCTTCACTTTACCCAGCCTCTGGATCTTCCTCTTCCTTTCCCCTCATCCAATATTCTCTTTTTTCCCCTATTCACTTATTCATTAATTCACTCATTTGATAGATCAGTTTTGGAGCATCAGTTAATTAATTAACCAAACAGTCCCCCACACTAGGTACTAAAGATTTAATCGTGGATGTGATGAACATGATAGTTACCGTCGTGTAGCTTATAGCCCAAGGAAGGAGGCAGAGAGCACATGCATAATTATTTAATAACCACAATGAGTATGACAATCGAAAAATCGCAGTGCACTTTGGAGTGACTAATAGGATATTTAATATGCTCTGGGGAAGAACAGTTAAGCCAAAGCTTGAAGAGTAAGGATTGTCCAAATGAAGAGTGGAGATCAGTGTTCCAGATTATAGCATGTGCAAAGGCCCTGAGGCTAATGCAGAGTGAGGGCATGGAGGAAAGGCATTAGCTGCATCTGAGGAGTAGGGCAGAGGTCAGATTCTGCAGGACCTTGTGTGCTGGATAAAGAATTTTTGAGTCTTTTTGCTGGGAAATAAGAAAGTTTAAATTTTTTAAATTATGGATTTTTTGACACATTAAACATATAAGTAACTTATATGAAGGTGGTGAAGTATAATAATGAGTATATCTGAGGTTCTTGCCAACATTAGAACTAGAATATCATCAATGCCATTGATTTCCTGCAAGCTTCTTTTCTATCTCGTATCCCTGGCTCCTCCCCAAAGGGAAACACTTGGAATGTTGTGTTTGCAATCCCTCTACTTAAAATATTTTCCCCCTAAACTGTCCTTGCTTGGTTTAGTTTGCTTTGAAGCTTTATAAAAATGGTAATATACTACCATTTTTATACATATAATCTTTTCTGATTTTCTCTTTTCACTCAATACCACGCTTTTCAGAGTTGCTGGTTTTATAGTATGTAGCTGTAGTTTGTTCTTTTCCACTGTTGTGTAATATGACAATGGATGGATTACAAGCAAAGGGTGATGAAATCAGACTTGCCTTTAATCACATCTTGCTGTGGTTAAATTTGATGTAGTTACTTTTGTCTTCTCCTTAGGGGCTCCCTTCAAGTGTAGAGAAGATGTGATACCCAACAATGAGTGGGTCCAGCTATGCCAAGTGGGAGCACTGGTGGAGGCTGAATTCGTAAGTATTTTTCAAGGTTCCTAGCTCTTGAGGTTTTCCCAGAAGGCACTTAGGTAGGATGTTGCTTGCAGCTTTAACAGAGACAAAAATAACAGTATCCTATACCAGATAGAAGTTCATTTCTCTCTTTGTAACAGTCTGAGTGTAGGCTGATGAGAGCTGTTATGATGGCTCCAGAATACTCTGCCATCATCAACACAAGACTCCCTTGCTATGGTCCAAGATGACTGCTCCAGCTCCTGCCATCAAGCCTGCATTCCAGCTGGTAGGCAGGGGCAAAGGGGAAGAGAAAGGCACAGTACTTTCCTTTTAGAGTTTGACCCACTATCATGTCTGCTTATACCTAACTTCAAGGAAGGCTGAAAAAGAAGGATATTTGCCTATCTAAAGCCTGGGGATTCATTTACTAAAAAAGGAAAAGATGTTGCAGTCTCACTATTAGTGAAGCTTTATGTGCTGCATCTGTGTGATATGGAATGGGTGATACACAGCCTCCAGGTCAGGAAAAGATGAATCTGGATGTCTTGATCCTCTAATGAAGTCATTCTCTTGAGTAAAGACTCCATTAGTATCTTCAGGAATTGATGTCACTATTTTAAATCTGAGCTTGTAAATTAGCTTGGGAATTCCCATGCACTTTGGATTTCTTTTAAAAACTTGTGAAATACACATAAAAATTCACCATTTAAACCATTTTGAAGTGTATGATTCAGTGGCATTTAGTACACTCACAGTGGTCTGCAACCACAGCTTTGATTTCCAAAACATTTTCATCCCCAAAGAAACACCCTCAAGAGAAACCCTGTGCCCACTAGCAGTTACTCTTCATTCCCTTCTGGCCTTAGCCCTGGGTAAACGGTAATCTACTGTTATCTCCATAGACTGACCTATTCCGGATATTTCATATAAATGGAATCATACACTATGTGTTCTTTTGTGTCTGGTTCTCTCATTGAGCCTCATGTTTTCAAGATCCATCCAAGTTGTAGCGAGTGTCAGTGCTTCACTCCTTTTCTGGCTGAATAATATTCCACTTGGACCACTGGTCTTTTCACACATTCCCCCATCTTTTTACCCAACAAAATAGTTCTGCTATTTGTTTATATTTCCATTTCTTATTCATGGAAGAAAATGGTGCTGTGGTTCCAATTCTGGTCAAAGGGTGAGTTTTCATTTTCCTGAGAGTTCTAGACACTTGTGACAGCTCAGGAACTCGGGACCACCCTGAATGGTGGGCTTGATGGACCAATTTGTACATTTTATGCCTGATCAACGCTCACAAATGCTCTTCTCTTTGGGATACAGATTTCCTTTTGTTCACTAATGAATGCCACCTTCAATGTTCTGGATGATGTCTGTAAAAAGGAAACCACCGTTGTTTCCCTGAAGGTAATGATAAAGTCTTTGTAATCTTTGTTGAGTTTCAAACATCTTGGGGGTACAACTTGGATGCAGAAAGTCCTCTTTATAATTAATGAGTGTGAGTTAACATGTAACCTATTCGGATTGCAAGGTTTGAAAAATTAACATGCGGTAAAACTGTCCTTTTCTGTACAGTTTGGCGAATGTTATTACCTGAATAGATTTGTGTAACTACCACCAAAATCAGATAAAGACCAGTTCTATTCCCCCATCTTCCCCCAGCTCCCTCGGGCTTCATCTTTATAGTCAGATACTCCCTCCACCACTGGCTCCTGTAAATCTCTGATCTGTTCTCTGTCATCATGGCTTTGCTTTTTAAGAATGTTATATAAATGGAATCACAGTATGTGGCCTTTCGAGGCTGGCTTCTTTCACTCAGCACAATGCCTTTGAGATTTCATCAAAATTATGTTTACCAACAGTCCTATTGCCTTTTTGTTCTTTTTTGAGTAACCATTGGTGACGATTAATGCATTCACAATGTTGTGCAACTATCACCACTGTCCTGTTCCAGATCATGTTCACTGCCCCAAAAGGAAACTCCCTACCCGTAAATAGCTGTTTCTCATCCCTCCCCCCTCAGCTTCCTGCAACCATCGTTCTAATTTCTATCTCTGTAGACTTGCTATTCTGGGCATTTTATGTAAATGGAATTGTGCAATATGTGGTCTTCTTCATGCAGCTTCTTTCACTGAATGTCATGTTTCCAAGCTTCACCCACATTGTGGCATGTGCTAGTGTTCCAGTCCTTTTCATGGCTGAGTAGTATTCCACTTTATGGATGCCCCGCAGTTAGTTTATCCATTCATTTTTGAAGGATATTTGGGTTGTTTGCGCTTGACCAAGATCTCTTCTTTCTCCCATCCCCACCCCAGCTTTTGGCAATTGCCAATAGAGCTGCTATAAACATTCATGTACAATATGTATGTGTGTGTGTGTGTGAACCTGGATTCTCATTTCTCAAGGGTAACTACCTAGGACTGGGATCACTAGGTCATTACAATTTCAGATTTTAGGGTGAGGAAGGGTATAGCTCAAGTGGTAGAGTGAGTGCCTAGCATACATGAGGTCTTGGGTTCAATCTCCAGTACTTCCACTTAATAAATAAATAAATAACCTAATTACCCCTGCAACAACAACAACAAAAATTTTAAAAAAGATAAAATTAAAAGAGAATAACATTTTGCTTGTATTTTGATTAATTTTAAATTGATTTATTAGTATAACGTTTATTCATGAAGTGTACACATTCATAGGGTTTTCAGACTAAATTTCTATAAATAATAACAAATTTATTTAAATTCTGACAAATTTATTTAAATTCCCTCAAACATTTTCTACCATTTACAAATATTCTCATTTCCCTCTAAATTTCAAATACCTATTAGGCACGATTTAAAACCTAAACGGCAAGGTCGCTATGCCCTTAAGGGATTCATAAATCCAATCAATCAAATGTATGAATATAATAATTCAGAGTTTTTAAAATGTTCAATACAGTATATATACAGCCACCTTCTCTTAAACTGTTTGTATCGAAATCACAGGTCTAATTGCTTTTTGCAATGAGATCATGAGGTTAACTGTATCACTTCTCTAATGTGTCAACTTGTTCCAACCCTTTAAACAACAGGTTTATAAATTATTCCAAAGATTACAAAACCTTCTAAAATTAATGCAGAAGTGTTACCACTATGGAGTTTTAGCTTGCCTACGCTCTTTTCTTTCCTGAGGATATAAAATAACCTTCCCAGCTGAGGAGAATAGATTTAACACATCAAAGAGGGTTTTAATGGGATTTCAACACCATAAAATTGAGGGCCACTCTTTTCCAGGTTGATTCTAGCTGAGATTTTTCTGCTGTGTTGGTGGGAAGGGACCCCAAAATTACTCTGGTCAGTTGGGATGTGGTTACAGAACTCAGTGTATCCTGTTTTTCCTGGACAAACCTTTCTCAAGTTTCACCCTGACTCAGTTCTTCTTGAAATTCTTTTCATCTTCTTATGATCAAATTTGGATAGATAGAAACGTACCTCTGACAAATTTCAGTTAATTTCCTTCACCAGTGGGCTGGATTCAAACCGGGTCCTCAGAAATAACCAATGTTAACCATTTCGATGTGTGTCTTTCCACATCTTTCTACTTTGTGAATGCATGCATAACACACACACACAGACATTGAACCCATTTATTGAGTGCCCACTGTAAGTGCTTTAGACCAGTGATTTAGGATTCAGCCTCTGAAGCCAGACTTCCAAGTTTCAAATCTTGGTTCTGCCATCTACTAGGTATGTATCCTTGTTTCCCCAACCAGACTGGAAATAATAGCCTCTATTTCATAGGTATCTTCATAAAGTTAAATAAGTTAATATATATGACACTTCATACTTGGCTCACTAGAGGAATTAATTACATTTATCTTAAAATCTCAATTAGTGCCAGAAACATAAATACCATAAATACCAAATTTTAAATGAAAGTGCTTGTTCTTTAAAATTCAATATCTTGTAATAACTTTAATGAAAAAGAATATGAAAATGAATATATGTACATATACGCATGACTGGGGACATTATGCGTACACCAGAAATTGACACATTGTAACTGAATATATTTCAATTAAAAAAAAACCTAAATGAGGCAGCGTATACACATTATTCTGTAATTTGCTTTACTTGACAATAGCTCATGGACATGCCTGCTTGTTGATACATATAGATACTCTACATCATTCTTTTATAAACAGCTGCATGCTAGCCCGTGATGTGATTTAATCATAATGTATTTAACCAACCTGGTGGACATTTGGGCTGTCTGAATTCTTGCTATCACCAGCCACACTGAAGTGAATATTGTTAGACAAGACTCTTGCACAAGTTTTAAGCATTTCTGGGAGGATCGATTCCTGGAAGGGAAATTGCTGAGTCAAAAGCGTACGTGCAATTTGTACTGTGACAAGTGCTGACTCTCTGCCCGCCTGTCACAAAGGTTACACCGATTTTCATTCCCGGTGGGGCTTCTTGAATCAGGAGAGGGCAGCTAAGTGAATGTCCTTTTGATTCCTTGTTTTCCTAAACTGTCAATCCATTCTCTTGATGAGAGAGAGGGGACAACTGCTGTTTCACTGATGGGAGAGAGAGAGGGCAAGCGCATCTTTCCTTGCAGAGTACCGCTGAGAGCTTCGCCTCTGTGATTGAACAAACATCCACATGGTCCAACTTCACTAAAGAGAAGACATCCACGCTGGCCACAGTCCTGCTGGAGAGCGTGGAGAGCACCACACTGGCAGCTCTTCTGAAATCCTCGGAGAACAGCAGTCAAAGTGTTCAGACGGAATACTTGGGTAGGATATTTACTTCATGGCAAGGTCACACTTGGGTGCAGCTTTAGAGGGGTGACTTTGGCATTGTGAGTCTCCATATACCATTTCCCCAACTGTTTCTAACCACTGAAATCACAGCAAAGCAAGTCTAATCATCTTAACAACACGTTCCTTTTATCAAGTGCCTGGCATTGTGTTAAGTATGTATTACTGAAAAACAAAAGTGTATTACCAGGCGCCGCTTGAAGTGTGTCATTAGTTCATTCAACAAATATGTGTTGACTGCCTGCGATGTGCCAGGTGTTCAGGTATGATCGCTGTTTTCCAAGTTCAGATATTCCCAGCTCCCTCTTCCCCTGCAGGACTGTACTTCCTGGCTTGGGTTTAGGTGGGGGTCGTGACTAGTTCAGGCCGATTCGTTGTGACTGCAGTTGTTGCTGGCGTGAGACCACGCGGGCCTTTCTTCCCTCTGCCCTAGGGACTGGCCTTGCTTCAGATCACTGTTTGTCTGTCTCCCTGGGTCCCAGGGTAAAGCTAACACAGAACACAGCCCCAAGTCAGTGCATTAATGGGAAATAATTGTTGTTTTTAATCCACTAAAACTTGGGGCTGTTTGTCACTGCTGCTCGCCTGACCCTCTGCTGACTGACACAGGTATGGCTTCACTGCCCTGAACATGCTTGATGGGGACTGCTTGCGAGTGCTGGGGGCTATGCCTCCTTCACGGCAGCACCCAGCTCCTGGTACTGCTTCCAGTATCAGTCACATAACCCTAGGAAGTTCTGTCCTAACAGGTGCCCAGGAGGCCAAGGCGGAAAAAAAGCATTTGGTGGACTGCCACCAGGAGTGAACAAAACTGGCCCCATGCGGCTTACAGTTTAGTAAGTTGAGTCAGGCAATAAACAAACAAATGTCTGGTATACCCGGCAGAGCGTGTGCTCTTGGGAAAAGTCTAGCAGGGCGCTGGGTTAGGAGGAGGCTGGCCCCTTGCCCACTGCGCTGTGCTTGCTCCAGACCTTTCTGATTTCCTTTGGCTTTTGGAAAACTTGTCTAAATGTGGAGTAGCCCGAGGGTCATAACTCTGCTGCCCTCCATCGCTGCTGACTTCTCCCCCGCCTTTCCCCCGGGCACCCCCTGAGACGTGAACACTCGTTCCTGACGTCCCAGCTGCGTTTCTCATTTGTTTGCTGCTCCCATCCTCCTGTCCTTCATCCAGGGGCTCAAGACCGTTCCCGCGGCGAGCGGCCCTTTCCATTCTTTGCAAGAAAGGTACACTGGGGTGTGTGCCTTTCCTGGCCAGAGACCACACTGAGGATCCATTTTGTTGGGTGACTCCGGGCAAATTCTCCCTTTCTCCTTTCAGATATTGAGAGCAGAGTTATCAATGAGGAATGCTCTGAAGAGAACGAGACCTTTATCTTGAAAGCAAAAGGGGATGAGATGAAGATATGGTGTTCCACCATCAAAGAATCTGAATCCGCAGGTACACGCACACTCCTGACAACCGGGGAGGGCGGCTGTGGTGCGTTCAGTCAGCGGATACAGACTGATGCCCTGCTAGGCGACAAGCCCCGCGCCAGGCGGTGAGGGAGCCAGCGGTGGCGGGCGCAGAGGGAGCCCGTGCCCTCCGGGGGTGTCCGTCTGTGAGGGGAGTCGGACATTGAACAGATTGTCTCACAACACTGGGGCGCCAAGACATTCGACTGCCCAGTACGGCAGCCACTGGTCACGCTTTGTTACTGAGGCCTTGAAGTGTGGCCAGGCTGCGAGCATAACACACATACCGGATTTCAAAGGCTTGGTACAAAAAAAAATGAAGGATGTAAAATACTTCATTAATAATTTTTACACTGGCTACATGTTGAAATGATAATAGTTTGCAGGTATTGAGTTAATATGTAATTAAAATTACCTGTTATTTTTCACTGATCTACCATGCATTGCTATATACAAAACAGGTAAAAGTCAGGGACCTCCTGTAGAGCACAGGGAACTATATTTAATTTCTTGTAATAACATGTAATGGAAAAGACTCTGAAAAAAATATATCTATGTGTATGTATAATTGAATTGCTTGGCTGTATACCTGAAACTAATATTGTAAATCAACTACACTTCAATAATAAAATTAAACACACACACACACACACACACACACACACACAAATATAATGCGGCTACTAGAAAATTTAAAATTACACCTGCGGCCCATAGTGTATTTCTAGCAGTCAGCACTAATCTGTATCGGGGATTGGCAAACTTTTCCTGCAGAGGGCGGTTAGTACGTATTTTAGGCGTTTTGGATAACACAACCTGTTGCAACTATTCAGCTCTGTTGTTGTAGTGCAGAAGCTTTCACAGGCAACATGTAAATGAATGGGTAAGGTGGTGCTGCAATGAAACTTTTATTGACAAGAAGAGCCAATGGCCAGGTTGGCCTGAAACTCTCGTTTATCACCTCCTGGTCTACATGCTGTCTTGAGGGCCCAGGGAGCAAGGTGAGGACACATCTCTGGGGACCGCCGACATTGAAAGGGGAAGCCCAGCAAAGAGACTGAACAAGAATAACCGTAAACGTGGGCAGGAAACTGATTTCCCACTGCAGAGCTGAATTGTTCCTTAAAAATGCAAATTTGAATCTGTTTTTAAACGTAGCCAAGATTTCTCCAGGTAAATAGCACCACAAGATTTTTTTTTTTGTTTTATGGTTCTGGTGAAGGTCACCCACCTGGAAGTCTGCTGGTGTTTCAATCCTCAGAGAAGGCCAGTGATGGCATAGAGATAAATGGGATATTAAAATGTGGCTGAGTGTGGATGTATTGGGTCGTCTGTAGTAACTACTAAGCAAATGCTCTCCTTTTTTCTTCTTTGCGTTTGGGGGAAATTGCAGATGTCAACGGGGTGGCCTTTGTCTCCTTTGTGGGTATGGAGGCTGTTTTAGATGAGAGTTACTTCCAAAACACTCAGACTCCCTTCGCCAACTCCCAGGAGAAGCTGAAGATGAATTCTCGTGTCACTGGGGGCATCATAACAGGAGCGAAGAAAGATGGGCTCTCTAAACCTGTCATCTACACTCTGGAGAACACTGAGGTCTGTGAAGAAGTTTCCATTGGGCCCCCAACTAACTATTGAGAACTTCCCATCTTCTAATGGACTTAACTCTCATTTTTGACAGGGACTCATTAAGACATCAAGTGTCCGCAATTTCTAGCAATTTAAGCCGATCCTCAAAAACCCACCACTAGAAGGATTAGTTCTCCTCCTTCTGTGTGGCGCTTTCCCATTCATCAGTGGACAGGTTTAGGTTAGATTAAGTAACGCTGATGCAGGAACATTTACACAGATTTTATTTACACGTGCTATGACTAAGTCAGTGGTAGAGACAGGTCTGGCACCCAAGATGTTTCTTTTCATCACTGCACGTAGAGACAGCAGCATTTTCCCCATTCCCTGTAGGACATACCTTCATCTTCTTGAGGTTGGTCAGACTGAATCCATTCAAGAGGGATTCTCAGGTAACCAAAGCCTTTGAATTTTCAGCAAAAGAAGAATTTTGAGAGAACTTTCTGTGTTTCCTGGAGCACAGATGTGGAGAGAGGTAGATGGACAACTTCTGGCTGTGAGATGCTGGAAGCTTCTGAGACGCATACCGTCTGCAGCTGTAATCGAATGGTGAATCTGGCCATCATCATGGCTTCTGGGGATCTCACGGTCAGTACTGATGCTCTGTGCTTTGACCCCTCAAATTCAATGGCTAATATTGACTAAATGTTCACTGGGCGCCTCTCATGGCATTGGGTGTTGTGGGAGGGGGCCATGGCGGACAGACAGGGTGTGTGCCACACCTTCGCTCTGGGAGAATTCACGGTCTGGCTGGGAAGCCATGACATGCATATATGAAGTGAGGAATGAACCTAAACAAGTGTGGGCACAAGAACAATTAAGACCCCATTACTGAGCCTACTCTATGCTGGACTTTTTAAGTTAGATATTTTCAGACCCGTTTTACAGCACTGAGGCTCAGTAGCCTGTCTCGCCATGAAACTAGTCATCAGTGGAGATGGGGTTTGAACCCAGAATGGTCTGGGTCCAGAGGGCTCTTCCAACAAAATCGTCCACAGGCATACCTTGTTTCATTGCCCTTGGCTTTATTGCACTTTGTGTATACTGCGTTTTGTGTGTGTGACAAACTGAAGGTCTGTGGCAGCCCTGTGTACACCAAGCAATTCAACCAGCATCATTTTCCCAATAGCATGTGCTCACTTCATGTCTCTGTGTCACATTTTGGTAATTCTGACAATATTTCAAACCCTCCACCAGCAAAAAGATTATGACTCAGTGATGGTAGCATTTTTTTAGCAATAAAATATCTTTAAAGTCTGTACATTTTTTTAGACATATGCTATTACACACTTGGTAGAGTAGGGTGTAGTGTAAACATGCATTTTACATGCACTGGTAGGGAAACAGTCATGTGGCTCACTGTACTGCCAATATTCGTTTTATTGCAGTGGTCTGGAATTGAGCCTGTAATATCTCCGCAGTATGCTTGTCAGTGGTGCAGCAGGTTGTACCACAGGAATTAGAGTTGTGCAGTGAGAGCTGGGGATAGATCGGGGCGAGATGGGACCTGAAATGAGCCCTGGTGAGTGACTAGATTTGGTAGCGAGGAAGGACGTGCTCATCAGTGCTGTGGTGAGTATCCTTGCCTCTCACGCCAGATCTGAGGTTCAGTTCTCTGCCAGGGAGGTCCTGAATGTATTTAGAGGAACGTGAGACTTAGGACTTAAGAGACTTGGATTCAGTGCAAGACTGACTTAGTTTCAAGTCTCATCTCGATCACTTTCTAGCTGTGTTTCCTAGGGCAAGTCACTCAACCTCTCTGAGCTGTGCCCAGGTCTCTCATCTCAAAAATGAGCACAACAGAAAAATAATGATGAACACTAACGTTTATAGAGGGCATAATATGCTTCCTGCTCTGCTGTGATTACTTTCGATATTTTCTCTGAAGTCTCCTGGAACAGTCCTGTAAGGTAGCTACTGTTAGCAGCTATCCTCTTTTTGACAGATGAGGAAACTGAGGCACAGAGCAGTTAAGTATCTTGCTCAAACTCATACAGCTAGAAACTGGCGGAAACGTAGTCATCCTGAGACCATAGAGAAGAGGTAGTGAGATGGTGCCTGGCATATCTTTAACACACAGAAAGCACCCAAATAAATTTAAAATTTATGATAAATGATGGCATAGGGGGAGGACTCAACTGGTCATGTCCACTCTCAAAGCTGGGGCATCTGTGAGTGGCTATAATCGGTCCTGTTTCAGTTCAGGAAACAGGAACCACTCTAGGTATTTCAAACAGAAAAGAATTTAATACAGGGAACTGAATGCTCAAAGAATCGTGGAAGGGAAGGAGGAGGCTGCCACTTTGATTTTGGCTTCAAGATCACCCCTCTGCAGCTGTAATCCAGAGGTCAGAAATTACTGCAGACAGGTCACCCCACAACCACATAATTAAAGACCGGACGGTTGGAATATGGAGTCCAGCCACAGCTCATTCCTGTCTGCAGAAAACTGGTATCTGCCTCCATTCGGCCTTTCAAAACTTACATGTGTGCATCTCACTGGAAAATCTAAATGACATGCAGAACCTTAGCCCCAAGAGATTATGGGCAATGTGGTTTGTAGACACCTGTCCTACAGGGAAGGGGCACAGGGCAGGGGGGAGGATGGGCGCTGATGGATGCCAGAGGACGGCGGTGACCAATATCTAGTTCACTCTGAGTATCGGATGGAGACAAGATCCCCAAGCCAGGAGCCTGGATAATTCTTTTTTCTGCCTGGGGGGATATTAGTCCCTCTCTGAGGCCAACAGTGTGTCTCTTTTCTGACAGATGGAGTTCGCCTTGTATGTCATCAGCCATGTGGGCATCATCGTCTCCCTGGTGTGTCTCACCATGGCCATCATCACCTTCCTTCTGTGTCACACCATCCACAACCAAAACACCTACCTCCACCTGCACCTCTGTGTGTGCCTCTTCTTGGCCAAGCTTCTCTTCCTCACCGGTGCAGACAAGACTGATGGAAAGGTCTCACATCCCTCAGACTGTGTCCCCATTCAGCCCCATCATCCCCACATCTGCCTCTGCTCATCCCTCCCTAACTCCTCTATGCTTGCTTCCACCTCAGGACCTTTGCACATGCTGTGCCCGCTTTCCTAACTCATTCCCCAGCTTCTCACCTAGTTGACTCCTCTGAGTGATAAGTCTCAGCTGAAAATCATTTTCCTGATCATGTTATGTATTGTGATGGCCCCTCCTATTATTCTTGAAGCCGTTGGTTCTCACCCAGGATGATTCTGCCCCCTTGGGGACACTGGGAATATCTGGAGATATTGTTAGTTGTCCACACTTGGAGAGGACGCTGCTGGCATGTAGTGGGTGGAGGCCAGGGATGCGGCTAAACATTCTGCAGTGCACAGGACAGCATTCCTCCCCAGGACAGAAAAGAATCTGGCAATAGTGTTACAAATAGTGGTGCTGCCGGTGAGAAGTTCTACTGCTTGTCACTCTAATTTGCTTCCTTTCCCAGCACCGATTTGAAATTATGTTGATTCTTTGTTTCACTTGTGTATCTACTTCCCCCAGTAGCCTATGTGCAGGAAAGCAAGAGCATTACCCAATTTGCCCCCAGTAACTGTGCCAGAGACAGTAAACTCAGCGTTTTTCCAAAGGAAGCACTACCAGCATTTGGGGCGGGGCGACCATCCTTCCTGCAGAGCTCCCCCTCTCACTGCGGGATGTTTTTCTCTCCAGACCCCTTGAAATCTAAATGCTAGTCGTGCGCCCCACTCCCATCATGTGACCAAAAGTGGGCAAACTTCTGTAAAGAGGCCGATATGAATATTTTTGGCTTTACAGATCCTATGTGCTCTGCCAAGACTATTCAGCGCCACTGTTCTACTGCAAAAGCAGTCACAGAGGATGCATACATGGCGGTAGCTGTGTGCCAACGAAATACCTTTCACAAAACAAGCAGCCAGCTTAAGGCTGTAGTTTGGGGACACCTCCCCTCCCCCCATATCATCAAACATTCCCTAAAGCCGGGCGATCAGCTTTCCGTTTTCCCCCAGGCTCTCCCAGTGTTAGCACTGAAAGTTCCACGTCCTGAGAAAGCTCAGTTCCAGGCAAACCAGGATGACTGGTCCCCCTGCCAAAGGGATGGAGCCACCTGCGGTGAAGAATTCTCTCTAAATATTTGTGGGATAGATGAAGGGACCGTTCTGGGGAGCTCCAATCAAAGCAGCCCCTGCTCTGCCCTCTTCCTCTGAGCGCACCACCTGGCCCAGGGGAGCCTGAAGGTGCGGCCTCTCCTCTGCAGGTGGGCTGCGCCATCATCGCCGGCTTCCTGCACTACCTTTTCCTTGCATGCTTCTCCTGGATGCTGGTGGAAGCTGTGATGCTCTTCCTCATGGTCAGAAACCTGAAAGTGGTGAATTACTTCAGCTCTCGGAACATCAAGATGCTGCATCTCTGTGCCTTTGGCTACGGGCTCCCAGGGCTGGTGGTGGCTGTCTCTGCCAGCATACACCCACACGGTTACGGGACGTATAATCGGTAAGTGACATCCTTCTATCTCCCTGAAAATTCTCCCCCTCCTCCTCTTCCTGCAGCTCATAGTCTAGAAGGGGAAGATGGACAGTTTACAAATAACTGAACAAGGTAATTTATGATATTGACATTAGATGTTATTATTATTATGCTTTAAAGCAGCAAGCTCTGCTAGGGAAGGACCAGGGGTAGTGGCTTTTCAGAGGAGGTGACATTTGAGCTGAGATTTGAATGACAAAGTGTTTCAGTGGAGGGGGATTATAAAGGTGATGAAGTGAGAAATGAGCTCTACCCAAGGCATTAAGTGAATATTTCAGGAACATTCACCCAGGAAGAAGGTCTGAAAGAGGAAAGCTGAAATCTGGCCCATCATGAAAATGTTCATCTCAGTCTTACCTCCTAATATGCTCTTCCATGAGTGCATTTGACAGGGCGTGAGTAATTTTCGGGTCGGGACTCTGAGACAAGCAGTGACTCCTGTTTCTCTCCGTAGCTGCTGGCTGAATACAGACAGAGGGTTCACCTGGAGTTTCCTGGGGCCCGTTTGTACAATTATTGTGGTAAGCCAGTTGCTCGGTGTAGTGTGTTCTGGAGAGGCAGCCGGGAGACCCAAGGGATCAGGAAGTGCCAGTGGGAACGGCAAAGCTCTGGTCACTTATTCCTCTCAGACGTTCTCCTTTTGGACCCTTGATTCCTGAGATTTCCAAGTTAGAGTGTAATTTCTTTGATTTGCGATTTTTTTTTTATATCAACTGCAGATCCCCTGGGAGGGAACACTTCTTATCTGTACTTCGTGTTTCAGTAAAAATGAGTCTATAAATCTCTTTTGAGTAGAGGTCTTGAATAAAAGAAGAGGCAGGAAGAAATTGAGAACAGTTCGTTGGTGGGTGGTGTTGAACGGAGGTAAATGTGGGGTGGAGGCCAAGGGACGCCTGGAGATTCTTTTTTCAGCTTTATGGAGGTTTAATTGACAAAAGTTGTATATATTTAAGGTGTATAATTTGATATTTTGACATATGTATACATTGTGAAATGATCACCACAATCAAGGTAATTAACAGATTCACCACCTCACATAGCTACCATTTTTCTTTCTCTTTTTATTTTCTTTCTTTGTTTCTTTGTTTCCTTTTTGGGAGGTGGTGGTGAGAACTACCCTTTTAGCAAATTTCAAGTAAATAATACAGTGTTGTTAACTGTGGTCACCATCCTGCACATTAAACTCCAGAATTTACTCACCTTGCATAACTGAAACTTTGTTTCCTTGAAACTTAGACCAATGTCTTCCGATTTCCTCCTCCCCCAAGCCCCTGGCAGCTCCATTCTACTCTCTGGAAAGCCTGGGGATGCTGGGCACCATCTCCTTGCTTCCTTGCCTCCAATCTAGATTCTCCAGTCCTGCAAGATGAGAATCTTCTGACTCTCACTCATGGTGGCTTGTTTCCTTGTCACTTGTAATTGTTAAATTGCGAGCTCGTATTTGACTGATCTAAATTTTGGGAAGTCTTGAGGTTTTATTCCTTCAGAGGGGTTTTGCTCTTATTTCTTTCAGGTTTGGGGGGTCCATGTATCAGAAACTGGGTAGCTTAGAACAACAGAATTGACTCACAGTTCTGAAGGCTGAAAGTCTGAAGTGAAGGAGTCAGCAAACCACGCTCTGTCTGAAGGCTCTAGGAAAGTGTCTCTTCCCGTTCTGTCCAGCTTCTGGTAGCCGCAGGCATTTCTTGGCTTGTAGAAGTCTGTCTTCTCCCTGAATCTCTTCGCATTGTCTTCCCTCTGTGCATGTCTGTCTCTGTGTCCAAATCGCCCTGTTTTACAAAGACATCAGCCGTATTGGATTAGGGCCCACCCTAAAGACCTCATTTAAGTTTGATCACCTCTGGAAAGACTGTATCTCCATAACAGGTTGCATTCCGAGGTGTGAGGGTTAGGGCTCCAACATACCTTTTTGTTGGGAAGGGGAACAGCCCCATGACAGGGAACTAAATGGTCTTGATTCTAACTTCCTAGATGCATCCAATGAACATAAAGGAAGATCATTCAAGAACAAAGAAAGGCTATTTATTAGGAAGTTGCTATAGTAGGGGAGTCAGTCTCCACCAGCACTTGTCAGAGACTCCAAAGCAGGCAGAGGAGTGGGAACACACCATAGAGGGACAAAGGGGCGGCTTCAGGTGTGCCCTGATTGGAGGCTGCAGGCATGGGACGCTACAGGTAGGCTATCAAAAAGCGGGGCGTCCCATGTGTTTGGTTAGGGGTCCATGATTGCTTTCTCCGTTTGGTCTTGCATTGGAAGCAAGGGCAGAAATTAAGGAGGCTGTCGATTATTAGTCCAGTTCTGGTCTTTCTTGGGTCGGTTGCTACACAAGTTATTATTCGGCTTCCTGGAATGGTTACCGCAGACTGTGGGCCAGAGTTCTGCTTTTACAGATGGTCTGGCCATTGTCCGTTTCTATATCCTCTTGACTCCTTCTGCTTGACTTTGTAGGTCAATTCCATCCTCCTGACTTGGACATTGTGGATCCTGAGGCAGAAGCTTTCTAGCGTCAATGCTGAAGTCTCGACACTTAAAGACACCAGGTTTAGTCCCGCCTTCCTTTTCCTCTCCTCTTCTAGTCTCCTTTCCTTCTTTCCTCAAATGTTAATTGAATACCTTTTGTAAGCCTGGTCCTATGTCCAAAACGGAATAGCACAGTGTTAGATCAGGGACTCTCAAACCTCAGTTCTGCCATTTAAAAGCTGTGTGACCTTAGGCAAGTTACATAACCTCTCTGAAACTCAGTTTCCTCATCTGTAGAATGGGGATACTAATACCACCTACTTCATGTGGCTTATGAAGCATTTAGCTCAGTTGCTAGGAGGAGTGAGTGTTTCATATATTAAAACTATTAATAATTTTTCTAATTCTCCTGAGCATACTCATGTGTACATATTTACAAAGTCAGACTCATACTATCTTATTTTCATAGCCATCTCCCTCTTAATAACATATTTCTGGGAAAACGTTTCCATTTACAGTAGTGTTTTTTTATCTGCAGCTTTGCCAACACTAGGATTTATCATTTTTGTTTTTTGCTGAATTAATAGATGACACTTACAATCTCATTATTTTATTTTCATTTTTTAATCCTATGGATATAGGACTTTTCCATATCCCTGTAGACCATCTGCTTTCTTAACTTCATCATTCAACTAAGGGTCACTTGAGGAACTGGCTAAACCCACACGGTGTCCAGGTTTTATTGTCAAGAGACTGATGGTGTCCTTTGCTTGATTTCCTATCAGTGTCTAATCCCTCACCTTTCCTGAGTGCTTGTTTCTAAGAGCTATTTTTTAAAAGTTAATGCAGAAAGTTAAAATGTGCAATAGTAAGAAAAATTAAGTTGTAAAAAAGTACTATGAAGTCATTCCCTGAGCCCCTGGGTCCCCAGATCCCTCCTGTCCTAAGCAACCATTATCAAGTGATTTAAGCTTCCTTCTAGAATATTCTATACTTATATGTCCGTCTTCTATTACATAAGTGGTAGGATACTGTACCTATTATTCTGCACTTTGGCTTTTTCCCACATGATATGTAGCTTACTTCATATCAATACTTAAGGTTAAAAACAGCTAACAAAAATATTTATTTTGTGCCAGACACTGTTCTAAACATCCTTAGGGTCTTCCCATCTCATAATTTAATCTGAACAACAAGAAGGCCGATGTGTGGGTATTGTGTTATTATTGCTGCGTCTGTTTGAGGAAACTGAGGCACAGTGAGCTAAAGTAACTTACTAGGGCCACAGAGTTCATGAATGGATCAGTTACAATTTATTTATAGGCAGTCTGACCCAGAGCCTGGACCCTTGCCCACTCCAGGACACTGTCACTCTCATCTCATTTAAAAAATATTTTTAGAGGAGGGGAGGGCTCGGTGGTAGGGTGCCTGCTTAACATGCACAAAGTCCTGGGTTCAATCCCCAGCACCTTCATTAAAAAAATAAACTATGAACCTAAAATTAAACCCAATTACTCCCCCCCCAATTTTTTAAAAATAAAAATAAAAAAATGTTTCTATAATCTACTCCCTATCTCTGTAGATTTGCCTATTCTGGACACTTCATGTAAATTGAATCACGCACTATGTGGCCTCTTGTGACTGGTTTTTCTCACTGAGCATCACGTGGTCAAGGTTTATCCATGTTGTAGTGCATGCCAGGGCTTCATTCCTTTTTATGACCAAATAATATTCCACTGTAAGGGTGGATCACATTTTGTTTACCTGTTCATCTACTGATGGACATTTGGGTTGTTTTAGTTGGCAGAGAACGGAATGGAGAAGGGTTGCTTAACAGGTACATAGTTTGTTAGGGGGGCTGATGAAAATGTCTTGGAATTGGAAAATGGTGCTATTTGTATATTGTGAACGTGCTAAATACCACCAAATCACACACTTTAAATGGCTAAGATGGTTAGTCTTATGTTATGTGTCACCTCAATAAAGAGGAAGACTTTGTAGTATTTCATGCGATGGCTTCACCATTCACTTAATGTGTCCCAAATTCTTGGACCAGTAGGTCCTTCTAGCCCTTTTTTTTTTCATTTTTCATTTTTTTTAGGTAAAGTTGATATAATTTGATTGCACATATTCAGTGTACTGCATGTAAGTACATATATACAATATACTGCACATATTTAAAAAATTTACATGTATGTACTGTTCATTGTTTCTAAGGACAGTTTAGAGCTTTAGCTTTTTAAACTTACATAGTCATCAAGGAATAAAGCCACCCACAAAATGGGAATCAACAGAATGCAGTAATCCAATCATAAAGGACCGTCAAATGTGCTCACACATATTTAAAAATCAATCATCTAAGTTAGAAATAATAAATAGTTCATTTGTGTCCATTTTTTTAAGATTCGACATATAAGTGATATCATATGACATTTTTCTTTCTCTTTCTGGCTTACTTCACTTAGAATGACAATCTCCAGGTCCATCCATGTTGCTGAAAATGACATTATTTTATTCTTTTTTATGGCTGAGTGGTATTCCACTGTGTGTGTGTGTGTGTGTGTGTGTGTGTGTGTGTGTGTGTGTACCACTTCTTTATCCAGCCATCTGTTGATGGACATTTGGGTTGTTTCCATGTCTTGGCTATTGTAAATAGTGCCGCTATGAACACTGGGGTGCATGAACCTTATCTGCCTCAAATCGTCCCTGCCAGGTTACTGACATTCAAAGCCTTTGCCCAGATTTTTATCTTGGGGTGCTCCTGGGTGCTGGGCATCTTCCAGTTTGGACCCATGGCCAGTATCATGGCCTACCTGTTCACCGTCATCAACAGCCTGCAGGGAGCCTTCATCTTCCTCATTCATTGTCTGCTCAGCCGCCAGGTACGTAGCTGCTTCCCCCCAGACCCTCTTCTTCCAGGGGACACGCCTCTGCCCGCACACTTCCCTACAGCTAAGAGTGATTCATCTCTGCCTGATGTGCCTCCACCTTTAGGTACGGGAAGAATACAGGAGATGGGTCACCAGGAAACCCAAAGCCAGCTCCCAGTCCGTCACCTCAGGGATCTTACTGTCATCCATCCCCTCCACTTCCAAAACGGTGAGAGACTGTGTGTTTCACTCAAGTTCTGGTCAGATGGAGTGT